GTTGTTAAACAAAAAAAGTAAGTTCAGTTTGTATTATTTTTTTTTTTTTGTATACATTATACACTGCAAGCATAATGTGTTGTTTGTATTTAACTACCAACTAAATAAAATACCTGTTAATTTATAAATTTTGTATACAATGCTATGAGTATTTTTTAAAGTAATAATTCTATTAATCAGATTTAGGTCCATTATTATTGTTTTCTTTTTCTTATTTTTAATAAAAAGAGAGCAAAAATGTTCACATAGCTTTCTACCACTTATTTTTACATTCTACTGTAGTGTGTTTTCATAACTTTGTTACCAGAAACACTTCATCGCAATGTTCTTAAGAACAATATCACCAATACCAAATTACATAATACACATTTCAAAATTCACCATTTAAGTTTAAGTACAGATATATTACACATTATGTTATTGTGTCTGTGTATAATCTGTTATACCTCTGATACAGGGAACAAACTATTACATATTAAAAGAACAAGACAAAAATTTGAAAAAAAAAAATTTTATTCATCTGCATCTGAAAACCGTAAAATACAAGTTAAAAAACCTATGTAACAAACCATGAAATTCAATGAATATTGTCCAACTGAAACTTACTGTGACTTGACACCTCTCTGCTCCCCTACAATTTATAAAATTGTTATTGTCATGATTAGTTTATTCACAAGCAACTATTCATAGGCAGAAATTGGGGGGGGGGGGCTTGAGGGGGCTTAGCCCCTCAAAACGTACAAACAGAAAAATTAGCCCCCTCAAAAATAATTTAAGTAAAATATAGACTTTCAATTAAATATTGTTGCAATGCAAATAAAAAAAAAAAAATTGGAAAAAATATCTGGTGTGTTCGTATTTCTGTTCAATTACCAAAGCTCATAGCATAATAAGATTTAAAGTAGATAAATCACAGCCAGTTTAATCTGGTGTTATGGTTCTACCACAGAATATTATTATAATATATTATGTTATTATGTAATTGTCATTTTAAAGAAATTATAATATATTATGTTATTATGTAATTGTCATTTTAAAGAAAAGGTTTTCAACTGATAGTCTTCAATCTTCAAATGGCTGAAGCTGTCAACAATTTCATCAAATTAGATTTTAATAGAGTGATTTTTTATAAGGTTAATATAAGGTAATTTTAGTTTAAAAACTTGCTATCAAAATCGAATATTACTGAATTAATAAATAATATGACATGTGGGTTCAAAATAGAATTTTTATAATTTATTTATTTTATATATTGTAAGTTATTCTTATTATGCTATTACTATATGAAAGATAATTGTTTATTGTCAAGAGCTATTGGATGTAAAAACTAAAAAGTATAAGTGTTCAATCAGAAATGTACGTTGTGAAAAACTATATACATTTTTCAACTGGCAAAAGCTGTAATACTTTAGAAGATTTTACTTCAGTAGGTACTTCCTAATGATTTATATATCCAAACATATATAATCTTATGCCAGTTTCACTTACTTTCCCCATAAGTTCATCTACATGTTGTGAATATAGTTTTTCGGCAATGAGAAGAATGAAAACATGGTTGAGGTCATCTATATTGCAAAATAGATTCAACAATTTAGGTATCATTAGTATAGAAAAGATATTTCCGAAACAATTGATAGAGAAATCATACTGGTCCATTTGCAAAAAAAATAGATATATTATTTTAAAATAAATATTTACCTGATAACTAGATAACAAGGTTGTTACTGTAAATTAATATTTAATAATTTTGTTTTTCTTTAAAATTTGTATAACTTATGTTATCTTTCTTATATATTTAAAGTTAAAATTCAAGTATATGAACGAGTAAATGTTTGACACTTATATAGTATGTTTAAAATAAATCATGCTTAGTTTTGGATGGTGTTTACAGCAATATTATATTTTCAAGTGCTAAGAAAGGCGTCGATATGCAGTAAAGTATTTTTTAAATATTAGCCCCCTCTAAAATTATGGCAAATTTCCGCCTATGCAACTATTAGAAATGTATATTAATGTACTTACTTCAGAGTGAACTGTCACCATGGACATGTCCTTTGTGACAATGTCCATGGTGCCGTCGGTTTCTTCCCCTGTTTGGGGTGTCGCTGTCGGCGGGGTTGGTGTTTGCGGTGGTGGTGGTGGTAGTGGCGGTGGTGGTGGTCCCTTCCCACGGCGGGTAGTAGTGTCTAAAAAAATTATAAAAGTTAATAATAGAATACGCAATAAGTTATCGTGATTCAACATAACACACACTCACCCGGACAATCGACAATTAGGTGTCCGGTTTTACGACACCTGTAGCACCCTGAAACACAAATTAGGCGATACACCTTTTAGTATTAGTTACTCTAAAATTTGTATTTTGTATACATCTACTTACTTCTTTTATTTTTTTGTTTTTGCAAACGCTTCCGGACCCTGCCGGAAGCGTTCCCCATCGCGCCGTGCTCGCGGCGGTGGTATACAGGTGCATTATACACCTGTATACCACTCGCGCTATAGTTGTTGATTTGTTTTGTTACTTTCATTCTAAAAATAAACAATGACACCAATTAATATTAAAATTAGTCATTTTTGCTGACACTATGCCACTGTTGTGCCGTGACGGGTTGGCCATGTACAACTAATTATCAAAATGTCACGAGGCGGTTTTCGAACATTAGTAATGAGTTAACGAATACAATTTTGCAAAAAAAACAAAATCAGACACGTGGCCAACAGTAATCAATAATCATAGAGTATTAGCATTGATTATCGATAGTGTGCTGTTAGTTCTACAGTAAATAAATTAATTTATCATTGGACTAAATACTAAGGAGATTATCTATGTTCTCTCAATCGACTTTTTACGATATTTAAATTTTTAAGCGAGTTATGACAGTTGTGTCAAATAGGATAAGACAATGATGCACAGATAATAGCTAATAGGTCAATTCACTCGATCACAACAAACAGCACACTATTTACAGTGGTAAAATAAAAATGCATTAAAAGGTAGTTTGAACATAAATCATATTTCACCCGCAGAAATAAAACATAATATAATGAAAAAATATAAATATATAGGTAATTATAAAAAAGTTACGGGAAGGTTAGTGAATATTGGTAGTGAATTAACCAACACAATTATACACAAATTAGACATGTGCCAAAAACAAAATCAGAACACATGGCGTACAGTAATCATAGAATATTAGGTATAGTTAATTCAACAAAAGCTTGAGTTTTCAAACACATAATATCCTACAGACGTGCTGCGATCCAGTTAAGAAGATACCCGCATAATATTATGTTGTCTCCGTCTTACACATGTGCGATATAGTTAATTTTCGTTCGACGGTTTCAATAGTGTGCTATATATTAGTTTTACGGTGAACTCAACTATTAGTATTATTAATTGAAAATTGAAAACTAATATAAGAAGATAATCTGTGTCCTCTCGATCGATTTTTTACGACATTTTAATTTTTAAACGAACTATGTGTATGTGTAATGCAAAATATAAAATAATAATAATGTACAGATATAATTTCCTAAAATATTTATAAAAATTATAAAAACCAATTACAAACAGCGCACTATTTAATCTGGTCAACTAAAATTTACTACGGAATACGATTTACATTCATTCAAATGCACACGTGCCCATAGTCATACATTCAGACCTCATAAACAATTAAACGAAATTGTATTGTATAAAGAGGTGTTTAAATATTGATCGAGATACAATTAAATATATTCTATAAGTATTAAAAAGTGTTTGAGCATAAATAATTTTACTCTACCAAGTTAAACTAACATGAAAAAAAACACCGGGACACAAGGCCAGTATAAGAAGGTACCTACAATAAGGAATTAAATACGTTTACTTACTCGAACGGCGTCCAAATGTCAAATGAAATATGTCCGGCGTTCGTCACCGATCATACATCCTGTCCGCAAAAAATGGATTTCCCATCACTCCATTAAATTAGATGGGACATCGGTCGTATCGACAATTACACGATAACGCGAAAGCTTCGTGTGAGAGAGATCGATAGTGACTACATGTAGACAAACAGAGACCGTCACGATACACGCGCCTTAGATATCATCATTATTGGTCATTACACACCGTTCGACCGAATTATACGTTTTTACGCTGACATAATTTTTCCCTTCAGAAATTATTATGTTAACAATATCATACCTATGAATACACGAATAGACATACTAATTTTTTAACGTATACGGAAGGTATAACCGCGTATGATCCATATTATATTTTTTGACGATGGCTGTAACATTTAAACTATTACTGTGACATTTAAACTAAAGTACCTATCTGCAATACATACCTGATATACCGTTGAAAATTGTACGCGATCGACGAACTCGGAGTACCTACCTGGGCGACTTCGATGAACGTACATCGAATATTACATGAGGCATCCACTTGCTAGACACTCCAACACGATTTTAAACTTGACATTTTGCTCCACAAACAAAAAAGGCACCGGACATGCAACGGAAAACAGCACTGACACAGAAAGTTCAAAAATTTAAACATTCCCGCCAAACCACCAAGCGCTATCACTAATCATTATCAGCCATACATAAACATAGATATTAAGAGGACGTCTCACCCGGGGACAAACTCGAGTTGGGTCCCAGATTTCAAAAACAGCATGAGTTGGGTCCCGGTATACTTTATGTAATACACGAGTTGGGTCCCGGTATACTTTATGTAATACACGAGTTGGGTCCCGGTATATTTTATAGAGTACACGAGTTGGGTCCTGATATATTTTATAGAGTACATGAGTTGGGACTAGCCTATTTGCGTTACCCAGGAGACACCACGTGGAGGTTGGCTAGAATGTCTCCCAAAAATTTTGTTTTTTGTTATGTTAAGGTCTGATGTAAAAATTATTAAAATATTAAAATTATTATTAAGTAATTAGATTAATTTTAGAAAATAAAAAATAAGTAATAAATATTTGTACTAAAATAAATATAAGCTAAGGAATAAATTTAAATGACACTTCTTTTACAAAATTTAACCGCGTCAATTCTCCACTAGTAAAAGAAAGCATCTTTTCTCTTAAAAAATTTTCTTTTTCTACGGTTTTTTTGATTGGCTGTGTGGCTGAGCTCCGAAGTGATACATAGATTTCACTCTGAATCCCAAGTAACATTTCTACTAAAACAAAAATGTTAGGGTGAGCTGCACTGATACTAGCATTTAATTTTGCATGATAACTTTCACAACTATTTGTGGTGCGATTTGTGGTTGCTGCAAACTCGGCCCAAATATTAGGTGGAAATAATGCATCTTGCTCTATATACGTTTTCAGTAGATAATCGCAAAATGTATCTACAGTTGTATTTACTGGTTTGATAGTCATTAAGTCATCAATAAAACAATCAAACACCTCCTCTGGTTTCAAAAATGGTAAACCAAAAATACACTTAAGATAGTCACTTATATCATTATTGGAACTTTTATACGCCTTCGATAGCCCAAGTTGTTGAATTTTTCGCCACCAACTTTGCGCTAAGTGAAATCTACAACCCCTAATAATAGCATTTGGCCAAACACACTTGACAGACGTATGAATTGCCACCTCAAAATCGACAAAAATTTGGGTAGGTTGAAAATTCAGTTGAAGAGATGTGCAATAACTCACGATATACTGGAAAGCTTTAGTGTAAGTTTCTAATGTTTTATTGGGTAATATCAAGAACACCAATGGTACATACAATCCATTTCGAAATCCGTGAATAGTAAAAAGTTGTAAGAAGTATTTCGTACAGCTTTTAAACGTACCGTCCATGTATATTTTAGTAACATCACACAAAGCTTTAAAATTTGTCTCGGTTGAAAAACCTATAATATTATCTTCCAAATTATTACAGAATAAAAATTGTTCGTCTTTGTTGGTAGTTATGTTCATTGTGCTTAAACAATTATGTACTTCATGGATGCTTTTAGGTAATTTTGGATATAGTACTTTACGAGCATGATGGATGTTATTTCTTATTAATTTCAAATCGTTAGTGTTTATCGAAGGTATATCACTGTTTTTTAACTCAGATCTAATGAGCTTTGAAGGTCGTGTAGAAATATCATCTTGTGCTTTTCTTTTAACCGAGTTACTTAACTTTTGTCTATTCAGAACCTTTTCATCACATTTTTGGTGATTATGAACGTTACATTTCTCTATTATGTCTAAAGTGGACGATAATTTTAAAAAACACTTACATGTATTAAGATAACACTTCCAACGTTGTACATCATTCCGCAACATTTTGTGGAAGCGATATTTAAATCCGTCTTCAATGATAATTTTTTTACCTTTTTCGCTTGACATGAAATCCATAATTTAATTTTTATATAATATTAACACTACAAAACACTATACTTATTTTATTTTATATTCTAATAGATGGATACTTCTAGCGTTGACATGTGCCGGTATACTGGCAAGTTACAATAATATGTTATCCGGCGACAACTGTCCGGTTACGTTGTATACGTCTTATTAAGATAAGATATGATAGGTTATATCTATGGATATACCTAACCAAATATATTAATAAATATGGAAGAGACAAAATGTAAAAAAAAAAAAATGTTATTAGATGGACACTTCTAACCTTGACACGTGCTGTCAATATTATACGTGTTAATATCTTATTAAAATAATATAATAATAATAATAATATATATATACATATATATATATATATATTATCGCGGACCCAATTCGAGTATTATAAAATAATACCGCGGACCCAATTCGAGTATTTTAAAATAATACCGCGGACCCAACTCGTGTTTTTTTTAAGGGATCAAATATCTCGGGACCCAACTCGCGTTTTCCCTCACCCGGATGTGTTGTCTCCGTCTTACACACGTACGACATAGCAAATTTTCGTTTGCTAGTTTCAATAGGGTATTGTCAGTTTTGATATTAGAGTGAATCAACCTATTATCAAACTTTTAGGTAACAACATTATTTGTGTTCTCTCGTTGGTTTTTTACGATATTTTAATTTTTAAGTGAGTTATGGGTATGTAAAGTATTCATATTCTAAAATGTTCATAACTCACTTAAAAATTAAAATATCGTAAAAAACCAACGAGAGAACACAGATAATGTTCTTACCTAAAAGTTTGATAATAGGGCAGTTCACTCTAATATAAAAACTGACAATATCCTATTGAAACTAGCCAACGAACATTTGCTATGTCGTATGTGTGTACGACGGAGACAACACATGCGGGTGAGACGTCCTCTTAAAGAATGGATAGGCCATTTGTCGTTATCACATACTCGACTACATCATTAACATTCTACTACGACCACAGTCCACAGTTAGTTGTAGAACTACGACAAAGTCGGGTTGTTCATCATTCATATAGGTAGATGGTAGTCGAGTTTCACTTATAGGCTATAGCCGTTTAATGTATGTAATACTTGCCCACCTGATTTTCTGTTGTACAAATAGGTGGACAACTTCAAAGTTAATCGATTTTCACTTCAGAAATCAGGTTACTGACTTGCTAGACACTCCAACACGGTTTTCGGCTTTACATTTTTTACATTTAATTTAAACATATTTACACATAGTAGCTACGGAAAAGCACCGGGACATATACGTTGGGGAATCGTATCATTGTATTGCTGACTTTCATGGATCATGGGAGATTTCTAGACATTAAAACTCGACTTTTAACTTTTAACTTTAAACTTTCCCGCCTTCGAAACGCGACCGCCAAAGAGCCAGAGAGTCTTATCACAAATTCCTAACACCAAATCACCTTCGGCTACCAACTTATCACCTTCATTATAATTCGACTATGTCTCCAAAATAAGGTACTCAATTACAAGTAACACTGGGGGGTCCGGGGATCAGGCCGGATCAAAAAACCCAGCCCGAGGCGAAACGACAAAGATGTATCACCGCCCACACAGTCTTTCCGCCGTAGGCGGGATGACCAACGCCAGAATCTAGTTATATTATAAAATATAAATTATAAATTATTATTATTCACCTTGCGCCAATCATTACCTGGGTATCGTCCATAGATCCGTAGTGCAGGTATTATTATTATCGCGTATACGCGCCGCCCGCTATTATAACGTTATCTATTTCAGAGCTCATTAGTCTCGACGGTCGTTGAGTTGATATCTCCGGTATATCAGCTGTACCTATTATAGATTATAGTTACGTAACAACTAATAGCATCGGTCGCTGTGATATAAACAATATTGGTACAATGTTCGACGAGAACGAGCTCGTCCGCCTAACCCTATGTCCTAGCTAGTGCGGGCGAGTGCGTGCGTTTTATATACTGACCATGCTGTTCTGCACGCAATGCGTTGCCCGCATGCGGCGAAATACAAGCTATTTTGTTTTTCCCCGCATGCGTGCAAACCAGCTAGGACATAGCGTTACACGGTTGCTGAACCGCAGCGTCGCGAAGCGGGACTGTTTCGTCACACAAATTCGGCGAATTCACGACACGCTAGGAGGTTTCTATCCAGGCGAACTTTGCGCCTCGTATTATTATTCTTTACGCGCGCTAGATTTGTTATGGTCGAAATTCGTGTCCGCTGATTCGGACATCTCTCACTGTTTGTCCTTGCTTAACCGGGCAGATGAGTGTTCGCCCGCCTTACGTATTGCGGTGCGTGAGTTAATCGAAGTAGCCAAAGTAGGTATGGCCCAATTATGTAGTACGCGTGTGAAAGTTCCGACTGAGCCTATGCCGTTGAATCCCTCGCGTAGTGGTCGTAACGAGCATCCGACGACTCGGCAATTAGTTTCGTTATCGCCAAGGGCTATCACCGTTCGAGGTAGTCGTTATCCAAGTGGATGCTTTTCGAAATTGTTATCGTCCTATAATACGTCAGCGATCGATACCTCGTCAGCCGTATCCGGTAAAATAGTCGCACAATCGTTAGATCGCGTTTTCGTGTCCGATTATAGTTTTGTGACTCACACTATGCCGGTGACCAAGTTGATCTCGGTGCTCGGGCCCATAGCAGTATCGCCGACTTTCGTAAGGCCTTTTAAATGTAATACGTTGGAGGACGGGTTCCCTCCTGAGGTCTTTCGTGTCAAGCGCAGTGTCAGTATAACAAATAATTCGTCATTGTCATCGACATGTTTTCGAGGTCCGGCCGTGTCGGCGCCGCCGCCGGTGTCGTATACACCGCAGCCGGTTTCCCCCCTTCACTCCGTTGTTGTGCGGGTGTGTTGTCAGTCCGTTTTGTTTGCACGGAATACGGAACGCCGTCGTATTACGCGTCCGTCGTTATTGGTCTGTGTACCAGCGCGCAGCCGTCTGCGATACGTGCGTTCGCCGCGTTTATCACGTCCGTGGGCAGACGTGACTATTATCGTGTTTCGGGTAAGCGGCCCTCACGAATCTTTCTATAAATATGTATTCAGCTGCGTGCTCAACATCCGTACAGGGTTAACGGATTGTTGTTGGCAGCACGTTAAATCGCTAAATCATTTCCCCGTCAATTATTACGCGTCTTATGACGTAAATTCGTTTGTCCGAGCGCGAACGGTTATGCATTGGCGTGGTCCACAGGTAGCATTCGGAAAACCGTCGGAATGGGACGACGTACTACCGTCGCTAGCCTTGTGTGACCTACCTAAAATACGGAGTTCGTGTATCGCGCGTATTGTCGTTAGGACTAACAAATTGTTTACGCGCATTTATAATTATTGTGACCGCATGTTGCGCACTGGTGTTTATATTATGCGCCGTACGACTGCCGTCTGTTGTCGACGTAATTGTGATCCGTCGGTTCTTCTTGCCGTTCGCGGAGCTTGGGTACCGTATGCACCTCCAAGTAATTTGTTGCCGTATGCAGTTTATGACGGAGGCGGTCGAGTGCGACGTTCTATTTCGTATTGGCGCGTACATACATTGTTATTATCGTCTGTATCCCGTGTCGCGCTGTTAGTCGTATCTCCGATTCTCGTACGGCCGTGTAGTCATGACTTGGTTAGGGACGTTCTCTCTCCCGATGGTATTTGTGCAGCTCTTGCTGTCAGTGGAACCACTAAGTGGTCAGGGACCCGCGTTCAAGCTCCGGCCATGTTAAAGCGCGTGTGCACGACTCCGCCGTCGTTCTCATGTCATTCCGTGGTGCGCCGTCGACCTGCAGTGTTTGTACGAGTTACACGCGTAGCACTTCCGTTGTTATCGGTACGTGTACCTGCGCGCTTCCGTCTTTGGTACGTGCCGTCGCCGCCAAAATTATATTTGCGGGCAAACGTACTGAGTGGTGCTTGTCCACGGTGGCATTATTACCCGCCAATAACTTAAAAATAATATATGTTGTCGCGTCCCTCTGTGTCACCTATAAGCACTGTGCTCCGTGACATGACGCGTCCATCTCACCGACCCTACCCTCTGTAAATTTAGTGTAGCATTTTGTCATACACAATGCGTGGGTGGAGATCGGGTGATCGACTGTTTATATTTTTATATTGATATTATTTATTTTGTGTATAGATATTGTAATTATACGAACCATATCACGTTCATTTATTATTGTAAATTATAATCCATTTTGTTATTATTATTTATACTGGTTCGTGTATTATTATTAGTATTGTTATGTTCTGGTGTGTATACTAGTGCACCATTCAGGCTTGACGCTTCGTATAACGTTACCTTCTTGTACCGTCATTACGCCGTAATCGTTTACCGGTTGCGATTTATATTGTTGTAAAAAAATATTATACTCCATGGGTAATCACAGCACATATGCTTCCCGTACCCCAACCTAAACCACTTATTTATCTAACTGGCGTCCTACTTAGCTGTACGGTCTAATCTGTCAGTGGCGTAGCCTGGGTTTATGACGGGGGGAGTCCTCAATTATTGTATTTTTTTTCATTTGCAATGATCAATTATGTTATTATGTCAAATTATTATTCGCCTTACCTGTTGTGGTTTGCGTTATTTGTCTTTTGTATTATTATGCTGCACTATTATAATGTAGTTTGTATAATTATTATTTGGACTACAACTTTTGTTTAGTCGTGTCGATTTATTTCTTTCGTATTATTTATTCGTGACCCTATTGTCACTTGTTAACGTGCTTAACGTTACTTATTATTCTTAATTTATTGTGTCCCTTCTCATATTCTGGTACAATTGTTATTTTTATGAAATGTTTAATTTGTTCATGTTTTATTTACACTTATATTTATGTTATTTTTCGGCCTTTCAATTTATATAAATTAGGTCTCAGTATCGGCGGCGTTCAAAGAAGGATGTGAAGCTGCGCCTCTCATGGGGGAGTATGTTTGAACTTCCCGCCGCTTTCGGTGCAACA